AAAAAAAAAAATCACTGACACAGGTAGATTAATTAACTGGAGAAAAGGCACACAAGTTGATTTAATGTGTATACACATACCTATATGAAGTACCTAAGAATCAGTAAATTCACTGAAATAAAAAGTAGACCAGAAGAACCCAGGGGCTGGAGAGAAAGGGAAATAAAGAGTAACTGTTTAAGAGGTACATTTTAGGGCAGTGCCTGTGCCTCAGAGGGTAGGGCACCAGACCCATACCCTGAGAGTGGCGGGTTTGAACCCGACCTCGGCCAAACTGCAACAAAAAAATAGTCAGGCATTGTGCCGGGCGCCCATAGTCCCAGCTACTCGGGAGGCTGAGGCAAGAGAACCAACTAAGCCCAGGAAGTGGAGGTTGCTGTGAGCTGTGTGATGCCACAGCACTCTACCCAGGGCGATAAAGTGAGACTGTCTCTACAAAAAAAAAAAAAAAAAAAGAAGTACCTAGAACTGGAGACATAATTCATAGAGACAGAAAGTAGAATATATAGCTACCTAGGGGCTGGGGGGTGGAGGGAATGAGTTTCCATTTCAGATTTCTGGAAATGGATTGTGGTAAAGTTGCACAAGAATGCAAATGTACTTAGTGCCACTCAATTGTACAGTTACAAATGGTTAAAATAGTAAATTTTATGTGCAATATATCTTTTACCCACAATAATACCACTTTAAAAGACTGTGCCTTAGTTAGTTATGAAAGAAAATATTTACATTTGTAAATTGAATCCTCTGAGCATTAACACTTACCGCCAATTGAATTTACTCTCACAACTTTGAAAGCCATAATCAACATGATCATGCATGAATTCAGAGTGGACAGCTGTGTTCCACATTACCTGTAAAAAGGACCCAAGACAGTGGTATGTAAGTCCTAAGGGAAGACAGGAATAGCAGGTGAGTGGTAACTCTGTAATGGCAGATAGAAGTACTGATCTTAAATTAAAAACCAGGCCATGGGCTCGGCACCTGTGGCTCAAGCGGCTAAGGCGCCAGCCACATACACCTAAGGTGGCGGGTTCGAATCCCCAGCCCAGGCCCGCCAAACAACAA